GTGCATTACATCACATCACAACACATCACATCACATTACACGACACCCCATTACATTACAATACATTGCAGTACATAACGTACATTGCATCACACGACACTACATCACTTCACTTCGAATCACAACACATCACAATACACAACACCAAATCACATCACCTCGCCTCACATCATAGCACAGAACATCACATCACATCACATCAAAATCACATTACATTCGATCACAATACATAGCATCCCAGAACATTACATTACGTTACACTACATTACACTACATCACATCACAATACAACGGATGGCATTATAATACATTACATTACAATACAGCATGATACATTACATCACAACACATCACATCACACTACATTACACTGTATCGCAGTACGTCACATTGCATTCCATCAATTGACAGCACATTACATTACATTGCATTCCAGTACGTACAATGAATGACATTTCATTAGATTATAACACATTCCATCACATTACCTTCTATTACAATACACCTTATACTATTTAACCATTACAGTCCACTACATTACGTTCCAGCACATTCCATTCCATTACATTAGTTACATGCCTACCGGCCAACCGACCTAGCTACATACATACACACATACAGACACATACACAAGCGATGGAACTCTACGACACGAAAAAGGAAGAACAACACAAATCGGCCGGAACTAAGGGCCGCCTCCTGCGCGGTCTCCGACACTGCGTCCGGGATCTGCTTCCACTCCGAAACTCCAGGCTCCTCGAAAGATGCAGAGAAGGAAACGGAGGGAAGGAGGGGAGGAGGAAGAGGGAGGATGACTGGAGGACGGGAGAGGGAACAAGAAGGAGAAGGGGGGACACAGGAAGGAGGGCGGAGGGAGGAGGGAGGCACGGAGGACGGGAGGGAGGGAGGACAGGGCGCCACCCGAGACCTGGCTAAAAACTCCTGGACACCAGGAGCCTGGGCTCGCGCCCGAGGCTCCGGATGCGCCTTGGGAGGAGGAGGCTGAGCCTGACACTATCACCTCTCGCCTGCCTCAGGAGTGGGGGGGAGGAGGATCGAGGATCGAAGTTCCTCGAAAATAGGGGATCGAATTACATCGAGGATGGTCGAGAATCGCGGGACGGAGGGTCGAGGCTCGAAGTCCCTGGAGGGTCCGGAATCGTGTCCGGGCCCCCAGCAGCCTGCCTGCCTCAGGGAACTTGCCAAGGGCCCGCAGGGACCCCGAAGGGGTCTTCACGGGCCTCCGAAGCCATTCTCCTCCTCGATCCGACACACATCGACAACTTGTCGAGCAGCCGGCTTCGATGCCGAGTCTTGCTCTGGAGCTCCTCTGCGAAGTCACGACCAGCGCAATGCTTGACATCTTGAGCGTGGCTCCCCACGCGCGAGGGAAGAGATTTCGTAATTACCCGTGGGTGGACACTGAATTATCCCGGCAAAGCAACCTAACAGCGATGTGTAGAAGCATATCTGAAAGCATTCCCCTTAAGATTCAGATGAGAATCCAGTTGTAGAATTCTGCTGTTCTCGCAGTCGTAGTCGCATTCGCGATGACAGTCGCAGCAGCAACGGCAGTCGCAGTCACAGCCTCAGCCTCAGCCTGCCTCAGCCTCAGCCTCAGCCTGCCTCAGCCTCAGCCTGCCTCAGCCTCAGCCTCAGCCTGCTTCAGCCTCAGCCTCAGTCTGCCTTCAGCCTCGGCCTCAGCCTCAGCCTGCCTCAGCCTCAGCCTGCATCAGCCTCAGCCTCAGCCTCAGCCTCAGCCTCAGCCTGCCTCAGCCTCAGCCTCATCTGCTTCAGCCTCAGCCTCTCAGTCTGCCTTCAGCCTCGGCCTCAGCCTCAGCCTGCCTCAGCCTCAGCCTGCCTCGGCCGCAGCATCAGCCGCCTCAGCATTCAAAATGTGGCCCAGGAATGGAGTTCTGGGAACTAGAAGAACACGAAGTGGCCTACAGTTGGCTCCGGGCATTCAAAATCATGCCCAGGAATGGAGTTTCGAACTTGAATGAGCAAGAAGTGGCCTACAGTGGACCGGGCATCCAAAAGTGGCCCGGGAATGGAGTTCTGGGAAATCGAAGAGCACGAAGTGGCCTACAGTTGGCTCCAGGCATCCAAAATGTGGCCCGGGAATGGAGTTCTGGGAAGTCGAAGAGCACGAAGTGGCCTACAGTTGGCTCCGGGCATCCAAAATGTGGCCCGGGAATGAGTTCTGGGAGCACCAAGAGCGATTTTGCGAGGATGTCCCAAGCGATTTCGGCTTCGACGGCAGCCTCCCCGGGTCCCGCCCAGACCCCCCTGAGGAGTCATGATGCTCTGTTTTGAGACCACTAGAAACCTATCAGCAAGAGCTGTTAGGTAAAAAATGCCACATTAGGTTTTCGGGACGCATGCGGGCGGTCCCACTGGGGGCTTCGGTGGAGCTCCCTATGGGGCCACGAAGCGCTGTACTGGGGGGGGGGGGGGGGGGAATGCCAAATTGGGTTTTCGGGACGCATGCGGGAGGTCCGGTCCCACTGGGGGCTTCGGCAGAGCTCCTTATGGGGCCAGAAACGCTGTACTGGGCGGGTGAAAATGCCAAAGTGGGGTTTCGGGACGCACGCGGGCGGTCCCACTGGGGGCTTCGGTGGAGCTCCCTATGGGACCAGAAACGCTGTACTGGGTGCGTGAAAATGCCAAATCGAGCGTGTGGGACGCATGCGGGCGCTCCCACTGGGGGGCTCGGTGGAGCCCCCTATGGGGCCACGAAACGCTGCACTGGTGTGTGGGACGCATGCGGGCTGTCCCACTCGGGGCTTCGGCGGAGCTCCATATGGGGCCACGAAACGTTGTACTGGGTGTGGAAATGCCAAATTGGGTTTTCGGAACGCATGCGGGCGGTGGCACCGGGGCTTTCGGTGGAGCTCCCTGTGGGGCCACGAAGCGCTGTACTGGGTGGGCGAAAATGCCAAATTGGGTTCTCGGACGTACGTGGGCGGTCCCACTAGGGCATTTGCCAGAGCTCCCTACGGGGCCACGAAGCGCTATACTGAATACGTGAAAATGCCAAATTGAGTTTTCGGGACGCATGCGGACGGTGGCATTGGGGCCTTCGGCGGAGCTCCCTTTGAACCACGAAACGGTGTCTGGGTGGGCGAAAATTCTAAATTTGGTTTTCGGGACGCACGCGGACGGTCCCACTGGGGCCGTCGGTGGGGTTCCCTATGGGGCCAGGAAGCGCTGTAGTGGGCGTGCGGGACGCATGCGGACTGTAGCAGTGGTACCTTCCTTCGGTGGGGTTCCCTATGGGGCCACGAACCGTTGTACTGGGCGTGCGGGACGCATGCGGACGGTACCACTGGGACCTTCGGTGGGGATCCCCATGGGGCCACGACCCGCTGCACTGGGTGGGTGAAACGCAAGGAGGAGGAAGGAAGGGGCCACGAAACGCTGTATTGGGTGTGCGGGACGCATGCGGACGGTAGCATTGGGACCTTCGGTGGGGATCCCTATGGGGCCGCGAAATGCTGCTCTGTGTGGGTGAAACGCATGGAGGAGGGAGGAGGGGGAGGAGTGGGGAGGAGGAGGGAGGAGGAGGAGGAGGAGGAGAAGGAGGAGAAGAACGCGGGGACCGTTATTTCAAAACGACGTCCCAACACGACAGGATGTTTGGGGAAAAATCCAAATCATTAAAATGGCGGACATACCGCCCCCTATGTTTGAAAACTCCTCCTGTAAAAGAACATGCCCGAGTTAAGCTCCGCCCCGCTTCTGGCGGCCGCCGAGCGGCAGCCGGGAGCTCTTGTTGAAATCTCTTGCCGACTGCACCAGGAGCCTAAAATTGCTCTGACCTCCAGCCGCTGCAGCCGCCCTCGTCTTGCTCCCGCTGGCCTCCGCGGGCCCAGCACCGCCGAGGCAGAGGAGCTCACCACCGCTCGGACGTACATTCCCCGTGCATTTCTCGATTTCGCGCGCTCGTCTTTCCGCAAGACGACCCAAAATGCCCCCCTCGCTCTGGCCAGACTCCGCGCACCAGGAACATGATATTGTTCTGGTCCACCGAGGTCGCCGGAGGTGGAGGAGGACTGGGAGGAAGACAACAGGAAGGAGCCCGTTCGTTCTCTCGAGCCAGTCACGTGTGTGACCGGGGGGGTCTACGTCGCGCCGGTCACGCCACGGCGGGGGTGCGCCTGGGGTGCCGCAACATGCCCGTAAGCACCGCAGTGCGCCTGCGAAAAAAAAAAGTCGCCTGCGACCCGACAATCACGACATGCCTGTGACCAGCGCCACACAAGCTTGCTATCCGATCAACGCGACGTGCCTGTGAACACCACAATGCTTTTGAATAGCACAGCGTCCGTGAACGCCACAGCGCCTGTGAACATCAAAACGCCTGTGAACACAGCGCCTGCGAAGACCACAACGCCTGTGAGTACCACATCGCCTGTGCACACTACACAGCCGGAAAGCACCACAGCGTTTGTGAACACCACAACGCCTGTGAACACAGCGCGCGCGAGTACCGCAGAGCCTGGGGTCCGGCGGCAGTGCAGAACCGCTAGCAGTAGCAGTAGCAGTAACGGGCCGTAGTAGCAGTAGTACTACTAGTAGCACTAGTGCTAATAGTAGTAGTAGTAGTAGTACTAGTAGTACTAGTAGTAGTAGTAGTAGTAGTAGTAGTAGTAGTAGTAGTAGTAGTAGTAGTAGTAGTAGTAGTAGTAGTCGTAATAGTAGTAGTAGTAGTCGTAGTCGTTAGTCTCGTAGTAGTCTTAGTTCGTCGTAGTAGTTAGTAGCCAGCAGTAGTACTAGTATAGGGAGTACAGGAGTAGTAGTAGTAACTACTACTACTACTTATATATACTACTACAACTACCTAAGACTAGGTTAAGTACTAGTAGCACTCGTCGTAGTAGTAGTAGTAGCAGCAGCAGCCGCAGCAGCAGTTTAGTTAGTCGTTAGTAGTGGTAGCAGCAGAGCAGAGCAGCAGCAGCAGCAGTGGTAGTAGAAGGTAGTAGTAGTAGTAGTAGTAG